CTGTAACAGCCATAGAAGGAGTGAACCAGCAGATAGAAGACCTTTGTCTCTGTCACTGCCTCTCCCTGTCTGTAATTCTCTCTCTCAAATAAATAAAAATCCTAAAAGTGTTACCAATGCCATCTCACTAGTCCAAGTGATCAATTTCTGTTCACAATTAATCATAATGATAGGACTAAGAACCAAAGGGATCACATAAACAAGACAAGTGTCTGCAAGTACTAGCTGCTAGAATAAAAAAGGGAGAGAACGATCCAACATGGGAAGTGAGATACACAGCAGACCCATAGAATGGCAGATGTCCTAAACAGCACTCTGGCCTCAGAATCAGCCCTTAAGGCATGTGGATCCAGCTGAAAAGCCCATGAGAGTATTTCAGGCATGGAAAGCCAAAACACTCTGGGGGGAAAAAAAAAAAAAACTAAATGAAAGATCTCCACGAGTGAGATCCCAGTGGAAAGAACGGGTCATCAAAGAAGGAGGTACCTTTCTCTGAAGGGAGGAGAGAACTTCCACTTTGACCATGGCCTTGTCTAAATATGATCAGAGTCGGTGAACTCAGGGGGCTTCCATAGCCTTGGCAGCTCATGGCAAGAGCCTAGGGTGATTACTGAGGCCATAAACAAGAGTGTCAATTTGTTAAGTCAACAACAGGAGTCACTGTGCACTTACTCCTCATGTAGGAACCCTGTCCTTAGTGTGCTGTACATTGAGATTTAATGCTATAACTAGTACTCAAACAGTATTTTTCACTTTATGTTTCTGTGTGGGAGCAAACTGTTGAAATCTTTACTTAATGTATGCTAAACTGATCTTCTGTATATAAAGAGAATTGAAAATGAATCTTGATGTGAATGAAAGGGGAGAGGGAGTGGGAAAGGGGAGGGTTGCGGGTTGGAGGGACGTTATGGGGGGGAAGCCATTGTAATCCATATGCTGTACTTTGGAAATTTATATTCATTAAATAAAAGTTTGAAAAAAAAGAAAAAAAAAGAGTTATGCTATAGAGGCAGTTTCCCTTTCCAAATTCTGTTACTATTAATTGCAAATGCTATAGCTCACATCTCAGCAGTATCAAGAACTGAAATATTTAATGATTAAAATCACAGTAGTAAAAAAAATTACCTCTTTTTGCCACACTTGATGGGAAATGGCTAACATAGATGTCAAAGATAATGAAAAAGTGATTCCTTTCAATAAAAAACTATTTGCTGTAACATCAACTAATTATAATTGCTCATTTTAAAAGATGGGATATCTGTATTCTGGTTTCCTGCTTAGTTGTTGAATTACTTCATATATACATTTTAAACATCTATTGAATTCATTTCTATTAACTGTTAACATTCATTTTAAAGATACATTTACTCATTTGAAAGAGTTACAATAACAGAGGAAGAGGAGATAGGAGAGGGAGGAAGAGAGAGGGAAAGATAGACATTTTTTCATCCAATGGTTCATTCACCAAAAGACTGAAAGGACAGGCTGGGCCAGGTCAAAGCCTGGAGATGGAATATTCTTCTGCCTTTCTGTACCTTTGCCTTTCAAATAAATAAATAAAATAAATCTTAAGAAATATTTCAGACATGGGAGTACACACATCTCTATTGATACATGCAGGTCTACTGTTGTATCATGAAATCAACCATAAACAATATGTAAAGAATAAGCATGCCTGTGTTCCATTTGTCCCTGTTTCCTACTGACAATCTGTTCTAGCAAGACACTTGGTGTCCTTAGCTGAAGATTGGTGTATTTACCATTCATTAGTTTATCATTTATTTGCACACAATGATTATTAGAGTTGCAATTAGGAACACTACTAATAGAAATGGAACAATCATAATACTCCATAAAAGAACTTGGTATATGCATCTGTTTATATGTCAGATGCTGGGAAGCATTTTTAACACATATGAGAAGGCATAATCATATGCAGATCTTTCAACAGTCTAAACTGGACAAGATGATGTCTTCTGGAGCTATACTAAACTGACTATTACTCCTGCTCTTGTACCTCTGTGCTGCTACTTAATCTGCCTTATTCCTGTGATGAATGTGGATCCTGTTCCAATACTCCTATTCTCCTGTATCTATCCACTTGGCATTGTTCATTCCAACCTCACTACATTGTCTCTCTAGTCAATGAGCTCATGACATACAAAATCTTCATAAATACTTATGCTGAGGACAGTATATATATTTTTCATTTAAAAAATAAAACACCACCACTTCTGTTGTTCTCTGTTCCTGAGACAACCTTTTGTTGTTTATACAGTTGGCATAATTGTACAAATCCTTTAAAACCTGTAAATTGTTGTATTTCTGAATATTCCTATACAAATTCTCCTCTCCACATAATATAAATAAGAAATTTACAGGTAGATAACAAAATTAGCATTTGAAAAGTTAAACTCAAGTATTATTAAAAAAGTATGTACCTCCTGGTTAAGAAAATACTTAAAAAACACAATTTGAGAAAAATGCAGAAATACAACTACAATAATATTGTGTATTCTTCCCTAGTTACTCTAAAGAGAATGAGAATGAAAGCCTAAAACTAGAAGATACTTGAACACATTTACTTATAAGATGTGAACACCCATAACATAAAGGGAATTTTAGAGCTATAAGACCAGAAAACCAATTAAATGACAGAGACTGACACAGTACGTGAAAAACAAAACCTAACATACTGCTGCCTCCAAAACTACATTTTAAATATAAAGACATATGAAGGGGATGGATCTGAGGCCAAGTTTGTCAAAGGACAGCAAATTTCATTCATATTGGAATAAGTAAAAATGATCTATTGTACAGCATTGTGACACTATTTAATGGCACTATATTCACTGTAAAAGTCACTGAGAGATTAAGTATTACAGATTGTTTTGATAAAGAATAAATTGTTCTGATAAAGAATACATGTATAATAAAATACACAGAGAAATCAGCTTGACTTAGTTATTTCACATTGACTTATATATTCCACATATATATTTCTTAAAACTATCTTTTACTGACAAACATATTCAATCTGGCTAGTTTGAGATATAAAATTAGGTATTTTAAAAGATAAAAGATAAAAAAATTCAAAGGAGTTAAAGTTATGTATAAAGACCATTGCAAGACCATTTAAAAGAACAGATTAGTTACAGTCCTATTGACTAACCAGGCCTTAGGTCAGAGAAAATTATCATGGCTACTAAAATTACATAATGATAAAGGAGGCAGTTCTCCTTATGTGTATGAACTTAACAGTGCACCAAATTACATGAGGAAAAGATTACAGAATTACAAGGAAAAGTATATGCACTAATGATAATTAGCATAAATAAATAGCAAAGTATAAATTCAAATGTGGTAATGAGTACTTAGCAGTATATAATCATAGAGAGATGCTATTTAATATTAGAGGGAAAAGATAAATTCTATCACTCCAAATATTGACAAATCACAAGAATAAGTAAATATACCTCCATAAAAGATCAGTAAATTCCTACACTGCCAACACATCCTACTAAATTTAACTTGATCCACAACCTACAACCCAATTTTTCTCATCACATAAAAAATTACCATGCATTGTCATGAACAAGAATGACATTGACAACACCTTCAAAAACAAACTTGAAAGAAGCCAAGTCCCCTAAGCAGTTGAATGAGTGCATTTCTAAAGCACAGCTTTAGACAGCAGCACACATGCACAAAAGTGAAAAATATTTCCAATATAATATCAAAATTGCAATAGAGTAAAAGCCAAGCAAAGTTCCTCTTTGGTAGAAATGGTACAGTAAAAATCACAAAAAAAAAAAAAAAGGAAAAAAGAAAACCAAATCAAACCAAATAGGGGAAAAAAAAAAAAACACAAGACTTTGCCACTTCTGGGTTCAAAGGTGAATGATATCCAGAAGACATTTGAACTGACCAAGGCCCATTGATCCACCTGGGTGGTCAGTCCATGGGTCCCTCTGTTTCTATTTCAACTTAGCAGGAAGCAAACACTTCAAGAATTCTCTTTCCTTTTCCACAAACATTATCATCCTATCTAACCAGGTTAAATCCAAGAAATGAAACACTTATGCACAAATCATAAACTAATTCCTAAATTGGTAGATTAAAAGTAATTAAATGGCATTAAGATTCTACACGAGATGTGAAAGGGGACCAGCTCAGAGAAGACACCTACTTTATCAAATCTGAATCTCTTGTGAAAATTTAGTTCCCATTATCAGAAATTAAAAGGGGTCTCATTTCAGGGGCCATTAGGTCTCTCCCTCAAGAATGGCTGAAGACACACATAAGTGAGTTCTCTCCAGGGGATCTACTATGAAAGTCAAGCTGAGTTGTCATCTTTTAGAGGCTCTTTCTGAGTCCACTTTGTACTCTGCACAGCATCATCACTCTGCCATTCGGAACTTACTGCCTTTGAATCTTAGACCATAACTTGCAGCTAAAATAAAACTGTTTTCTTTCCAATTTACCTCCGTCTGTGGCACTGTGTTTTTAGGCAAAGTATGGACTCAACCTCTAGGAAGCACCATGCTGTTTGGCTCAAGAACAGAAAATTCAAGGGATTTAGATAATCCCTAGGGAGATAGGAGTGACCCAGGACAACACAGTTCACACTTCCTCCCCACATGAACCCCACACATGCAGTCCCAGTTCTCATAAATGGGTCTCCAGTCCTCAGCACACAATGGGGAAGACACAGGACTGCAGGTGTGGAGCTGCCCAGAGAGGGCTCAGGGACCTAGCTGAAGTCACTGTTTGTAGGTACGGATGGGATGCCTGAGGTCTGGATCTTGGCCAAGCTCACATCCCCTGGACATTGGAGGGGAAGGGAGGCATTTAATGAGGAGATTCCAGAGCAGGAAGCTCAGGTCTGTAAATCCTAGAGCTGACCACTGGGAGGACTGGAGTTGACTACAGACATTTCTAGTAGATTTCCAGCAGCTATGTACTAGTCTCCCACGTGATGCCCAGCCCCCTACACTCACCATTTCCAGCTTCTGAGGGGTCAGGATGTCCTCTTTGTCAGGTCCTGCTGTGAAAATAAAGCCATGGAAAGCAAAGCCTGAGTGACTCACCACCTTTCTCTTCCTGTCAGCCAAGCCCATCTGGAACTACCGCTGCTCTCTACTATGACATGGGTACCTGATGATTGGACAGTTTGCGAAAGCTGAGTATGCAAGACGTCACAAAAGACGCAGCCAATGAGAATCCTCTCTGTCACAGGAGGGCTCCTTTGGGTTCTGCTGAGTGAACTGGGAGTGAGGGGTGAGGTTTGAGTTCCGGTTTGAAGCAGCCTGTTTTCTGCTTGGCTCTTGGCCTCCTTACACCTGATGGTAGATCCCATTCCTGTCAGTCCCTCCTGGAGTCCCTCCTGAACCCACATGTCTGAGATCCTGCTAGCAAGTTGTGATCTGGAGCTGCAGGGGCCTGCTGCAGGTAAGTTCCAGTTCACTGAACGTTCATTGGCTTCTGGACTTTATTTTTGTTATTATTATATCTATATTCTCAACTCACTTGTATTCTTAAATACTGCTTGGTTGATATCTCTTTATGGATATCACATAAATTAGTCTTCTTTTGGTTAATTTTTCTTTTAAGCTTTTGCAAACTAGTCTGCTTTTGTCATTTAATATTATTTTTATTTGGTTTTTGATGGTACATAGTAATTCTATGAATTTTATTTATTGATTTCAGATCCAGTAATTATTTGAATTTTTGTATTTGGGCTTAGATTATATTGGGTTACCTATATGATAGTGTGAGTTACATATGTTGTTGTATAAAAGTAGATCCTTATACATTGTGTTTCCAGGACTATACCTCCAGTGCAATGTTAGAGACAGGTAGTGAGCAGCGGCAACCTTGTCTGAGTCCACTCTGAGGGAAAAAGCTTTCAATGATTCCATATTACTGTGTATCATGTTTGTGTATCATGTTTTTTGTAGGGTCATTATAGGCAATCTTGATCACATAAGGAAGTTACTGTTTCTGTATTGTTCTAAGAGTTGTTTTTAATAGGTACATGCCAGAATTTATTAAAGTTTTAAACATTTAAAGTTTAAACATTTAATCAAACATTTAATTTAATGGCTTAACCTGCTGCACCACAGCACCAGCCCCAGGATATAAGACCATGACATATAAAAGCATGATAAATATTTTCTGGAAAAAAAAAAGTTATGTGTACTTATGAAATTGCCATTTAAAACTGACTTTTTAAATTCCATAAAACTTTTTTTAAAAACCCAATAGAAAAATGTATTTTTATATATGACACTGGATACATATTAGGCAGTACTACGAACATTAATTCTTTAAACATCACAGTTGTGATGGAAATAGATAAATTGTTTCTTTGTGCTGTAATTTTTCATTCTTGTTTTTTGTAATCTCTTACACAATATTAACAAAACTGCACCTTCTATTTGTTGTGAATATTCACACCTTTTTATGTAAAAGAATCATTTAGGAAATAGTTTATGTGATGTTGTATATGGGAAAAATACTTATGAAACTAAAATTCAGTAAAATAGCAAATTAAATTGTGTTAGTTTTTTAAAATATATTTTAAAAGCCAATATATATTTTGGCTGAGTGGTTGGGAACAGATCAGAGCTTTAAACATTTGACTGCATGTGTTGTTTGTAAAGCAATCCACCTTAACTTGGTGGTGTTATAACCAATTTTGGAAATGCTTTATTGCATTTTTTAAATAAGATTCACCTTGTTGAAGTAGGTATGTGCTTCTAATTCTCATCCTATCTTCATAATGAACCCAAGGTTTTTGTTAGATTCTGTATTTTCCAAGGGCCCATTGTTGAGAGAGATTGCACACACCAAATGCAAGTTTTACTCGTGGTAAAATATTAATGTGCTTTGGTCAGAAAATGGGGCAGAAGTAGCAAATATAACAATCTACCATGTTGAAGGGCTAAAGGACTGGAGTCTTTTATGTTGCCCCTTTATTTTGCCTGGCTTCTCTTTTGAGAGAACTAAACTGTGTGATCATAACTGGCAGAAATTTGTGGTAGCAATAAGATTGTGTGTTTTTGTACTATGAAGTGCTTTGAACAAAGTGTCTGTATTACATGAATCAATTTAGTGGTTATACTATCCACTTAGAGATTGTTCCCCTCCTTGCACAATGAATATACTGTCCTTAGGGACTATTTCAAACAGAGTTAAGCCCCTAAGGAAAAGGAATCACCTATATACCACCAAAATGTTAATGTTATATCTTTTAAAAATCTTTAAATGCACATCTATTTACAAAAACTCATTTGTTCACTCATTCACCTATTTGTTCATCCAATAAATACTGAGTGGAGACAATATGCCTGACCTTGTCCTAGGACCTGGGGACACAGAAGTGAACAGCACAGATAAGGCCCCTGCCTTCTTAGAGCTTATATTCCTGCTGGGGAAGTTATTAGAATTGCAAAGAAGGGACATATACATAATCAAGGCCCTGCTTAGTGAAGGAAATAAAGAGCTTGGTGTGATGGAAGATCTTTGGGGGCCTGCACTGTGGCGCAGTGGGTTAATGCCCTGCCAGCATCCCATATGGATGCCAGTTCGAGTCCCGGCTGCTCCAATTCTGATACAGCTCCCTGATACGGCCTGGGAAAGCAGTGAAAGATGGCCCAATCCTTGGGCCCCTGCACCGCATGCCGTACCCAGAAGAAATTCTTGGCTCCTGGCTTTAGAATGGTGCAGCTCTGGCCATTTTGGCCATATGGGAGTGAACCAGCAGATGGAGGACCTCTTTCTCTCTTTTTCTCTCTCTGCCTCTTCTCTCTCTGTGTAACTCTGACTTTCAAGTAAATAAATAAATAAATATTAAAAAAAAAGAATCATTGGACATGGCAAATGGGAACTTACTCAGAAGGAGATTTAAGTCAAACCAAAGGAAGAGAAGGAACAAACCACATAAAAGTAGAGTGGAAGACATTTCAGGTAGAGAATACCAAGTATACAAAGATTTTCATCTACTTTTTTCCCCCACTAAATATAAATGTCACAATTCTTTATGTAAGACTCTTGTGGTATTTCAGAGTTTGGAGTTTTCTGAACTTTTCAAATATAAAATAGCTGAAATAACAGATCCAGTAACATTTTCAGCAGTGTTTTGGGGCAGTACCTGAAATGAAAAACATTAATATTTAGATAGTGAAACTAAAATAATCACATGCTGTGATATAAAAACTAGTAGTTTACTTCAAATTAGGTTCTGCAGTCAAATGTGTACCATAAGGTATTTTTCTGCCAATAGGTTATCTATGCACTTTGAGTTTCTATACTTTGAATTTCAAGAGCATAGGTGAACGGATTGTGCAGCGTATTTCATGATGC